ATATTGTTATTATTATCCACTCTGTATCTGTGTTTTTCTGGCTAAATAAGCTGTTTCAATTCAATTCAATTCATTGGGCTTATGCACTATTCCTCTGGGCCCACTGCTGCTCTGAGAGCCCCTGTTGGTCTAGCCTAGGCCCATGAGGCACCCAGTTACCATGTTGCCATAAGGTGGCACAGCAGGAGTCTTGAATGTGAAGAGGCTGTGTACTGGTAGGGGAAAACTTACGCGAGTTGCTTCCCTGTTTGCCACAAGGGCTTGACAGCGGCAGTAGCTGAAAGTAAGAGGAAGCAAGCAGTGCTTGCACCTAACACTTAACATACTGTTTTGCTGTCACACTAGAAGCATTATACCACCCTGTACACACATACACACACTCTCCCCACTCCACTCACTGTCTTGTCAGCTTTCTTGACTACATATACCGCCATCTGGAAAAACGTCGTCGCCTTCATTGACTTCACCAAAACATTTGATCTGGTCGACCACAATTTAATCATCAATAAAGCTATTGACCTCGGGTTTCGAAGAAGTCTTATACCGTGGCTTACAGACTTCCTAAGTGACCGATGCCAAGCCTTATGCTTCCGAGGAGGTGTCAAAACTTTTCAGTCACTCGGCTGTGGCATCACCCCCAGGCACCAAGATGGGATCGCTCTGCTTCCTTATGCTTACGGTATCAATGATGCTGGAAATATGTCGACGACTCCACCATTGGGATCAATGTCAACAACTCGGCTCCCAACTACATTGCCCTCCAGGATTTATTGGTCTCCAAAATTGGGCCACTAACAACCACATTACCATCAACCATACCAAAACCAAGGTTATGCACATCAACCTCTCCTCCGACTTGTCCCACCCCCTTCCATTACTTTGGACCCCTACACATTCCAGGTTGTAGACTCCACGAAGCTCCTTGGCGTCACTATAGATAACAAACTAAATTGGGAAACACACGTCAGTGAAGTAGTCAAATCCTCCAGTTTTCGTCTCCACCTCCTCCGCCGACTAAAGTCCCTTCGAGTTCCTGTGCCTGAGCTCCTCAGTGTTTACATAACATTCCTACTTACCAAGCTCACCTATGCATCCCCCTGCTGTCTTCCTCTCTAAATGCGACACATTGTAAACACCTAAAAAAACGTGCAGAAGAGGGCATGCAAGATTATTCTTTCCCTCTCCTACTCCACATATCAAGAAGCGCTCAACACACTGACCCTCTCGGCTCTCTCTGACCATCACCACGACCTCATCCACAAATTTGGTGAGAAGCTTCTGCACAATCCTCGACACTGGCTCCTACTTCCACCCAAGATCCCTCGTCCGCGAAAAGCTGTTCGACACCACAACTGCATCCAGCCCATACGAGCACATACTGATCGCTATAAGAACAGCCCAGTCCCAACCATTGTAAAAATTATCAACAACTCGTAATCAACCAGTGTATTCACTCCCAGTCAATCTTACCTTTTTGCACTGTCACTATGTTGAAATGCCCTGTGGTATGACCTTCTCCCCTCCTAGTTATTATATATCATATTTATATCACTTATGTTAATTGTATATTATTTGTCAATCAAGTGACCCATTCCCCAATTATGTAACTGTATATATTCAGCCTTCTGGCTGCCATGCTCTTTCAATAAACCATCAATTAATAATAATATTAATAACATTATTATTATTATTATTATTATTATTATTATTATTATTATTATTATTATTATTATTATTATTATTATTATTATTATTATTATTATTATTATTATTATTATTATTATTATTATTATTATTATTTATTTTTCATTACGATTAATATTATTATTATTACACAGTACTGTACAGTGGTTCCTTGGTTAACGAACACAATTCGTTCCAGAAGGTCGTTCGTTAACCGAAAATTTTGTTAACCGAAACCATTGTTTCAATGGGATTTTGGGTAATTGGTTCCAGCTCACCGAAAATTACATAAAAAAAAAAATATGCAGTAAAGTACACTTACTTTGAGGTGTGTATGTAGAAGGCTCCTGGTTGATGATGATGATGGGAATTAGAAGTGGGGGTGGAGGAGAAGGGAGAAGAGAAGGAAGTGGGGGTGGAAGAGAAATCACCCCATGCTTGAAGCTGTCATTTCACCCATAAAATTTTAAGTTCACTTGGTGTAATTCAAGATTATTTTCTTTAAATCAACACTGCACTGTACTATATATTGTCAATATGTTAAATAAATTTCAGAGTGACCAATAATTGTACTGTAAAAACGTAAAAATACTCTGTGTTCAAGAGACCCATAAGCAAGATGTTTCCTCCACTGAACAGAGACACAAACTGAGGCCTTGGTGGATGAGTGAAGTGGCTGATGGGTGTGCCAAAAACAAGTTCCCTGTACTGCAATTATGTTAAATAAGTGTTAAAATGACTACTGTAATAATTTTAATATAAAACTTGGAAAATTATTGAATAGTACAACCTTCTTGATATTTACTCCAATTTTAACGAATGTAAGCCCTAGAACCGATTTCTGTATTGGTGGACTAATCTTCCAGCTGGTGAGCAAGCCAAAGCATGTCGAAACATTTTCGTAAGAATTTCGTTAACCGAATTTTTGTTCATTAACCGAAATGAAGATTCTTATGGAAGGTAATTCGTTGACTGTAAATTCGTCAACCGAGGCGTTCATTAACCGAGGGACCACTGTATACAGTACTGGGGCCGGATACTCAAAAAAATTTATGGGACTGTATGTCGTTGCGTACCCGTAACTGGACTCACAGTCTCAGATTGGCATACTCAAAACACAGATGGTATACTCAAAACCAATATTTGACATTGAACTCCGTAAGTTACCGCAAGTAACTTACACCAGCTCCCGAGGTTGTGTAACACTCTCAACCCGGATGTAGTAGTGACTAATTCCCGATTGTATAGAAAATAATAATAATATATGTTGTAATAATGCTTGTTAGACTTGTTTTATCATAGAATAATGAAGAAAATGTTTTGTACATCAACATACTGAAATATAATATTTCACTTTGTCTTTTTCGTAACTTTTTTGTTGCCATAATAAGCGGCTTGAGTGTTTGTGTTTGTCTCAGTTTGGAAGAGACGCATCTTTTGTCTTCTTACACATTATAAAGTATTTCTTGCCAAAATAGAAGGTTTGTATTGTTCACACTTAGGGTAAAAATATGTTTTATGACTGAGTAAACTTGCAGATAGAACTTATTAATGTTGTATAGCCGTAAATATCCCTCAGTAATGAAAGCCAATATGAGGTCAAGTGAACATTCCTGCCAAGACTTCGCCTTGTTTTTCTAATATTCAACCAATAGTCTTAGCCTATTTTCTTATGTATATGGCTTATGATAACATGAAAGGCTATAAATTTCCATAGGCTAGCCAAAATTAAATGATATTAGGCGTAAAATATGGATTGCAATTAACTTGATTAATAGGTGCCTATATAACTGCTTTTTCAGTCTTAGGCAAATAAATGTTTAAACATGGGGCCTACTTAATTTAGTTAGAACATGAGGATTATTTAAATAAGAAATTATACTAATAGGGTATAGGTTAGATAGATAGGTTTGGTTATGTTATGGTATGTTAGGTTAGAGAATGTGTACATGGTTTTTTGGTGAGCGTCAGGCCGTCAGTGAGACACTTAGTCTAGCAGCTACCTTAGGCTTAGTTCCAGACTTTCCTTGAACATTATCATAGGTAGAGTATTAATTTAAGAAAATTTACGGCTAATCCGATATATTTTCAGGTTTTAAATTGTTGTTTTTTGTATGAACTTGAAGACAATTCAGACCAAATGTTCCCAACATTGAAAGGAAAACACCAGGGTCTAGGCTAAATGAGTAATTTAAGAGAAGTGATTTGTCATTTAGGTTAGGCAAGGCTATGCTATCAATAACCAATTTATTTGAAATTGCCCAGGTTAAGGCTATCTTAGTATAGCTTATGTGTCTTGTCACAGGCCAACATTATGCAAGGGATTATTTACCTAAATTCTAGTGGGGTAAAACACCAAATACTGTGAGATCTCTGTTAGCCAGAACAATTGGTGAAGAGCACTACCGTGAATGAATGAGTGTTTTCCCGTTAACGAGACATTTATCACAAATCAAGAAAATATCCCTCATCCCCAGAATGTTTATGGTAATGGAAAAATTTTCTCGGTAGTTCCTGCAATTGCCCATTACATCATCTTTCGAACCCAGAAATATATTCCCCATCTCACTGAAATTAGGTCGTCTCTTCTTGGCTGGTGGTCCTTCCATGTTTACAATATAATATTACGTGCGTCGCTCTCAGCTGATTTCTCCTTCTCTTGTGATTGGTTGATGATTTTGTTAACTGAGCGTTGATTGGCCAACTAGCATCTGCACTGACATCTACCGTCCGACAAGAGAACTTAATTTACAGTGTAAACACTAGAGTTACGAGAACTTACGGAAGGCTTACGGAACCATAATTAAATTTTGAGTTTGCTAAATTTATGGTAGTGTAAGGCTTCCACAATATATGGTACTGTATCATGCTGAAAAACGTAACTTATGAGGTGTTTTGAGTATCCGGCCCCTGGTACATATCATTATACTTGTATAATGAATAACATATTTTAACGTACAATGTTAAGTTAAATAGAGATACAGTATTGTATAACATGGATAATAGGTTTAAATTTTCACTATTGTGTGCTCATTTTCGGAAGGCAAATTAAGGTGCCTACTTTCTCTAATGTGCATGTGGTAGTGTGTATACAGTATACAGTACAGATTTGGATAGGTACAAAATGGGATATTTATTGTTTTTAAATATTTATTTAATGCATCGAGTGAGTTGGTATTGGGTGTCCGATGTTAGATACAATATAACGTATTGGTTGTATTTGAAAGGATTTGTATGAATAAATGGTAGAATTTCTCCATTGCGTGTGTGTCAGTAATTGTAGTGATGAGTTGATGTGGTGCATTATTTGGGTGATTGTATGTAAGTCAATCATGTTGACCATACTGTATATATTTCAGGCATCAATGGACTTACCGCCGGACAAGGCGAAGTTGCTTAAGCAGTACGACGACGTCAAGAAGTGGGACATGATTTGTGACCAGGAGCGAGTGAGCGCCAAGGATCCTCCGTCACACTACCTCAACAAACTCAAGACTTACCTTGACCCAAAAGCTTCTAGGTCCAGCAGGGTGAGTTTTGTTGTAGCGTGTATATGTGGCGCAATTAGTCAAATTTCTCTTTCTTATATGTCAAGTTTTTCTTTCTTTAGGACCACGTACACATGTACATAAAGGAGATCTTGCACTCAGGATGGAGGTGAGAAAGGAAACTCAGAATAGCATTGACTCCATGTACAGTCTCTCCTCCACTTACGACGGGGTTCTGTTCCGACAATCAGGTCGTAAGTCGATTGAGTCTTAAGTTGAACCGATGAAAACAATACATAGTACAGGTAATAATTGTAAATCTTTTACCTTTTTAATACACAAACTGAGCGGGATACGACGTGGATGCTGTACACACGCGGCAGTGTGCCAGCCGAAGTTGTCGTAAGGTGTCGTTGGACATTACGACCAAATGTCTGGACTCGAAAATGATGTAAAATATTTTAATATAATATAATATAACAACAATGACCATCGTAAGTCTGGGTAGTTGTAAGTTGAGGAGAGACTGTATATTGTATACAGTATACAATGCAGTGGGATGCTGGGGAGTTGATTTGTGGGTGAGCTGCTTCTGGAGAGGAGGTGTTGCCAGCTGGCGAGCGTTGAGTAGAATGACCTTCCTGGTGAGGCAGGGGGATATTTATATAATCCTGCCTACTCAGGGTCACAGGTGTGAGATGAAATGCGCCGATGATTCACTGGGCAAGGACGGCAGGTGGCCAATCAGCGAGTGATTCAGGGGCAAAGGCTGTGGTATGGAACTCGCTGCTCACTGCCTGTGGCGAGGAGGTAGAGAATTTGTAGGGAGTTAGCTGCTACAGTGTGCTCTTTATTTTTAGTAAGTTTTCCCAACCATTATTATTATTATTATTATTATTATTATTATTATTATTATTATTATTATTATTATTATTATTATTATTATTATTATTATTATTATTATTATTATTATTATTATTATTATTCGCTCATTGACGGATTTCAACGAAACTCTGTAGGATGTTGCCTGTAAATTAAACAATGCAGACCAAATTTAAGTGTCTTACATCAAAAGTCACTATCACAGGAAAGCCAAAATTTTGTCCAGACCAAAACTTCTTTACTGTACACAGTTTGTAATACAGATATATTGAAGCAACTTTACATGAATATCTGTACTGTAATTAAGGTAAATGTGGGGGAAACGGTTATTGTCCAAAGGACTTTATGGAATTAAACCAATATTTCTGGAGGTGTTATTTGTGTGTATGTATTATACTAAACACGACAATGCACAGAACCCAACAGGCCCCCCAGACCTTTCCGGCATATACTCGATAACTCGGCACATACGGGGCTCTGGCATTGCCGAATTATCCCAAATTCCTACTTATCGAGGCACTTCCCCCTCCTACAAAAATACACCAATAAAAAATTATCGACCCATATATGTGTACTACAGTATATGTAATTACTTAATGTAAACAGTAAAACTTACCAACACTGCAGGTGAAGAATGAAGCATCATATGACAGATGCATGGTAGGTGACACAGAGGCATGGTAGATGACACAGAGGCATGGTAGGTGACACAGAGGCATGGTAGGTGATGCAGGAGGCATGGTAGGTGATGCAGGAGGCCAGATATGACGAGATTTTCCCAGATAATTTTATATATCTCAGCTTTTCCCGAGTTATACTAATACATTCCAAGACCATATCCATGCCGAGTTATATGAAATTCCGAGTTATCAAATGCTGAGTTTTCGAGGGAATTCTACCAATGGGGGTTTTTGGAGAATACCGAACCAGCACAAACACAATTAATAGAAGTATTTTTCGTGATCGTGGAATAACTAGTACCTGTGATTGGGGTTAATGAGACGCAGTGGTAAAAGATAACCCTTCTATTCCCCAACACTACAGACGGAATCAGTAATTGTACACATACACTAGAGTAACTTCCGAGCTTAGCTTACAACACTACAATGGGAAACAAAAGCTGTACGTACATGGCATCAACAAAATTATTAAGACATTTATTGCATCCGAAAAGAACTAATAATGCATATCACTACATTACCCTTCTCACTCTTACTGGATACTTCTCTAACATCCTGTTCCTTCAGCTTCCACACACTCCTTCTTAGAATACAGTATACACCTTCCTTTCTCTATGATAGGGGTCACCTGCCCAAGTTAGATGGGAACTGCACTACACGAGGAGGTGATTTCTTCTCTGGAGTACCTAGCCGATGAATCCTCCAAGGATTCTGCCAACCATTATGATGATTGACAACAATGATATGGCTCCCAGTCCCAGGCGAAGAGGGGTGCTAAGAATCTCACAGTTTATCAATACCAGACACATTATCAAAATTGCGATATGGAATGTTTGAACAATGACACAAGGTAGTAAACTTGAACAGGTGGAGAGAGTGTTCAAACAGTACAAGATTGACATTATGACATTGAATGAAACAAGATTGGGAGGAATGAATCGAGTAGTGACACCTGATGGAAACAACTTGCTTGTTTCTGTTAGAGAGGATGATTTAAGACGAGATGGCGTCTTGTTACTGTTGAGTAGAAGTGCACTGAGCGCTGACAGAATGGAAACCAATTGGTGCAGGAAGAATGCTGTTAGCAAGACTGAAGTCTAAGTAAACTAATATGAGCATTGTAGTGTGTTACGCGCCTGCAAATACCACCCCAGATGAAGTGAAAGATGCTTTCTATGAGGAACTGCAGGATGTTTTGAGTAGTATTCTGGACAGAGATAAAAAGATTGTTCTAGGCGACTTTAATGCACAGGTGGGCAGCGACAACCGTGGCATGGAACGTGTCCTGAAAAAATACGGATTAGGCGAGGCTTACGAGAATGATATGCGTTTGTTCAGTTTGTGCTCGACTAACAACCTCGTTATTAGCGGGACAATCTTTTAGCATAAAGATATTCATAAGTATACATAGACGTCTCCAGATGGGAACTATCGCAATCAGATTGGCCATGTTATGACTAGTAAGCAGAGGTGCAACTCGCTACGAGATGTGCGGACGTACAGAGGTGTGGATGTCGGAAGTGACCACCAAATGGTTGTGGCAACCGTACACTTGAAATTAGAAGCGAGAGAGAGAAACGAGGAACTGACTCGCCCCAGATTAAAGAAGCGTTTCAACTTGATTGCTGCAACTGCTTCATCGTATTGGAGACATTGAATGGAGAGGAACCTGGGGTGTCGGAAGTTGAAAACATAAAGACAGACATTAAACAGTTGTATCAGGGCTCAGCTGAGAGAGTTTTTGGAAAAAAAGAGAGGAACTAAGCTGAAGAAATGGATCTCAGAAAAGACCTGGAGCATTATGCAAAGAGACGTACACAGAAAGTGTATGTTGATAGACTTGAAGATGAAAATGCTCTTGAAATAGAAACAGCCAAATACTGGAGCCTTATTAGCGAAGTAAAACGATGTGCAAGATGCGATAAGCGGCTTTTTCTGGAAAATATGGTAGAAGAAGTAGACAGGGCACTTAATTCCAATAATGGACATGGAGTAAGTAAAGCATACGATATAATTAAAGACATATCTGGTATAGGCAGGAAAAGAAAAAGACTACCAGTACGTGCTGTGAACAGAGAGTTGATAACATCAGAGGAACATAAAGGAATGATGGGGAGAGCATTTCCGGATGGTAATGAATAAAGCCTTCCATAGCTCTAATACTCTTACTATACACCAGCCTGATGAACAATTGGACGTCAAATATGGGTGTCATTACGGTGAAGGAAATTGAAAGGGCACTAAAGCAGTTGAAGAACTGGAAGGCACCAGGTCTACCTGTAGATGAAATAACTGGAGAAATGCTGAAAGCCGACACAAATGGTGCATCTCGAGTACTATTAAAGCTATTTCAAGAAATGTTGAGCACTGAGGTTGTCCCGGATGAATGGAAACAAGGAATCAATATAAAACTGCCCAAGAAAGGCAATTTACGGGAGTGTGGAAACTGGAGAGGGATAACATTAACAGGAATACTGTAGTGTCAAAGGTTTTCTGTCTGGTCATACTGAACAGTGTTCAAGAATCCTTAGACCAAAGGCTAAAGCCCCGACCTTACTATCGGACAGTGACTGGCGGACTGTGTCTTCACCGGGCACAGTCTGTCGGGTATGACTGTGATGTTGTCCACACTGCTGAGTAGGTGGTCAGGCAGTAGCCAGTAGGTGGTCGGCAGCCCCTGAGTGTGGTATCACCATGCGCAACACAGTTGGAAAGAAGAAAATAGTGCTGTATAGCATATGAACTGCTGTATGTGTAAAAAAGAAAAGAGAGAGAGAGAGAGAGAGAGAGAGAGAGAGAGTTTTTTTTTACGTACCTCATGATCAGAACATAACTCCGTAGCCACATCTTCAGTAGTGTGATTGGTACCGGCATCCATGTTTGACACATATATTCTGATTGTTTCACTCTCATTCAGAAATGACAGGTCATTAAAGCACCATAATTTTCGCCTGTAAACTTCGTCTGTCCCAGCTCCTGAGATTTATGTACCAGTCTCATTTCACGTCTATGTTGATTTCGTAGTGTCTCTATTTTCCGCTTTATATCCCCTGTGGTAATGGAGGCTGTAATCTTCCTTATCTCCTCTGCAATTCCCTTGAGTGCTGCTGCACGTTTGTCTCTATCTTTGTACATGTCACTTTTGACATTCCATAGGCACGGGTAATGGCGATAAAGGTCAATTAATCGTACGGCATCTTGTCTGGACCAGTGGAGGTTTGCAGGTTCTGTGGTGCACGTGGACGGAGGGCTAGACATGAAGACGAGGTAAACCGAGCAACCACCACCTGTGGCTCGTGGTGAGACCGTGAGAGACTGACAGCCAGGTGTAACTTTTTGTGGCTGGCAGCGTCGTCGGTCCATGCCTGGCGCCAAACCACTGGGCAGTCTGCTGATTTCGCTCAACTACGGGCACGGGCTGTCCGCTGGTTTGCCCGTCAAAGTTACCACAAAGTGTGCGATGACGGACTCATCACTCGT